TGTTTACACAGTGGAAGATTTTGATGCTTTCCAAAGAATATCATTTGAACTTACACAGTCTGTCTGCCTACGGATTGAACAGGAACTGGCTGCTATTAGGAAAAAATGTAAGTCACTACTATTACTTGGAGAAACACACACACAAAAATAATCTGAAACAATTTTTTGCTTTCTTAGGCACATAAACCTGTTGATGTTGATGATGTTGATGAAACTGGTCACACATAAATGATAATTTTAATAGCTGGGGATTTGGTTCTCATTTTCAATCATATTAGAAGCAGTGGGGAAAGATTAGTAGAGAAATGGAAGTGAAAAAATTACTGGAGAAATAACTTGTTTCCTCTCCTTTTATTAGAGCATGTCAGTCTGGAATGACCTTAGTGGATGTGCTCTGCTTTTACACTGCTGTAAAGCATTCAGTTATACTGCAGTCATTCTCCCTTAGCAAAATGAGGTAGTCTGAAGTTGCCATTTAGAATTTTAAAGGCAATAAAGTTGCCAATTCAAGAGGGTGATTTGATTAATTTTTAGGGTGAAATGAATGGCCCTCTTCAACAACTGCACAGACAACACAATTTTATACAGCTTATGTGAGGTGAGATTTCAATCTCATCCTTATTATAAAGTCTGAAATGAATTAGCACATGAAAATCTTCAAATCATACAATCATAGAATCATTATGGTTGGAAAAGACCCTCGAGATCATCGAGTCCAACCATAAGCCCCTCAACAGCACACCTGTAAAACCACGTGTTTCTAAATATACTAGAGCTTGGTTAATGTTTCATATTTAAAGGATATGGAAATGTCTAGCTTTTGTTCAGCTGGAGTTACTTAGTAGTTGCACCATCGGTGTCTCTGCTTGCATTTCATAGAGCATTAACACTGAATAGCCCCAGCATTGAAAACCCCACTCTCTTTAAAAATAAGCCTTTTGTTTCAGGATAGCTTTGAGGAACAAACCAGCAAAGCAGCCTTTGTTTTAGAGGGCTCAAGCAGTCTTAACATCCCCACTGTTAGGCTGACTAGGCCAGCCAAAACAAGCCCAGGATGTCAGGTTTGTGTTTGTGCCTCATGTTGAGTTCCTTGTTTCTCCTTCTAATTCCATTCCTGAAAAAATGCTGGGATTTACTTTGCCCTATTCCTAATTTAGCTCTTCAAAAAGAAGGATTCTCGGTTCCCAAAAAGGGCATAATATTCTTGTTGCTCATGGGACATGCAAAAGAGAGAAAACAATTTGATTGGCAGATTCTAAACTAAGTTTTCAGATCTGAAAAAAGAAGCCTTATTAGATGACCTGCTATCATTTGATGTAGAAATTATTGAGTTGGTGCTTCTACTCATCTTATGATTTGAGTCAAACTGGATATGATATTCATGAAATCTGATAGCTGTAAGCAAGTGTGGAAAACGACTGTTGCACATAAAACCAATATCTGTTCAATCAGAATAAATCATATAAGGGAGGAATGTTTTTGTCTTATTTTAGAGATTTTGTGTTAAAAAAATATTCCAGCAAGTATGCCTCATCTGTGTGTTTTTATTTCCATGCAGCTTACATACCTGCAAAGAATATGGTCTTTTCTGATGTAACGTCTGACAGTTTCAAAGTGAGCTGGTCTCCAGCTGGATCTGAGGTTTTGTCTTATCTCATTAAATATAAAGTAGCCGTTGGTGGAGATGAATTCATTGTTTCAGTACCAGCTTCAAGTACTAGCTCAGTTCTCACCAACTTACTGCCCGAGACTACTTACGCAGTCAGTGTGATTGCTGAATATGAAGATGGTGATGGCCCTCCCTTGGATGGAGAGGAAACCACTTTAGAAGGTACGCTTCCCGTTATTCACAGACACAAAAAAGGTAGTGTTTAAGTAGGAATTCACTTACTTCAGAGAATGGAAAATGAGCAGCTAGTGCTGAGAAGCTCTACCGGCATGGGAGGTGGAGAATAAACATCAATGTTTTTGAATGCGTTTATTAAAGACACAAAATTTCAATATTATACTGGAATTGTATTGGAACCAACATTATATTGTTAAGAATGGATTTTAATTTCCCTAAAAGCTGGCTGGGTTTCTCTACAGTAGCCTATTTTCTAATGAAGGGTGGTGCTGTAAATAATAAATACACTGACATGTATTAATATATATTTAATAATTATGAGCCTCACGAAGGAATGAGTGTTGTCTTTAATACATTTAAAGTCAAGCATGCATCCAAGTAGTTGGCTGTACTGTAGCTTATATTAATAGAAATTCTGTTTTCATATACCATAGGCTTAGTTTTAAATCAGCTGTTTCTCTTTAGAATTTCATGGGTCTGATCTTGTAACTGTTACTGAGTCATGACTTGTGTTGATGCCAGTTTATGTGAGCAATGCCTATAAGTTTAAGCGTGGTAGCTGGACTGTTTCTTGGTAGAGTTATCAAGATGCTCTTTGAATGATTTGACATAGAAGGGTCACAGTAAATGCGATTTTCTTTTTCAGTAGTTGAATACTCAGAGCAGTCCAATTCATGTTTTTCTTTTATTACCAATCAGTTCCTTTTTTCATTTTTCCATTCCGCATTTTTGACCTTTAGTGATGTAAATGATTCCAGGGAAGCATGGAAATTTGTTAATTGTATTTTCCTCGTAAGATTGATAGAAATACACATTTATAAAATTGCTTACTTTGGATGGTAACTTTGAAAGATAAAGGTTTTGTTGGTCCTGTTGGTCCATATTTCCATGACTGCACCAGTCAGAATTCTTTTGCCACACATAACTTTCCCTTAGGAAAAAAAGATAAATTTTTGGTTGATTGAATCTGTGGCTTCTAAGTGTAAGGAACAGGAGATGGAACAACTTTAATAAAAGTAGCCAGTGTTATTTTATTGTAATTACTATCACATTAAATAATTGTCATCTTAATCAGTCAAGATTTCATAAATCTCAATGTGTCTGAGAGAATCAAACTCTTCTAAAACCATGCAAATGTCAGCATCTCTCCATGCAGATCTTTGCTAATGATTTGGGTGAGACAGCCTTCTTGACTACTAACTTTGGCTTTTGAAGAGTTCTGAAGCTAGTATCGTGATTGTAATAAGTGCAAAACAGAGTTATTTTCTTTAAAACTGGGATCATTAATTGCTCTACTCTTAACCAGGCTGTAACTGAAAAACAAAGAACAATATTTCTGGCATATAATATTTCAAATTAATTATTCTTTATGTAAATAGGAACTATGCCAAATCAAGTTTTTGAGTTTTTGCCTAAGTTATAATGCTACTCACTTCAAGGCATTTTGTGATACATTTGATCTTGATGAATGTGGCAGGATTTAGGTCCTACTTTAATGTGCACATTGAGTTCATAAGAAATGACCTGACCTGTAGCTATATTTTTCATCAAGGAGCAGGTTAGGTTAAATAATTTTTTGTGCCCTCTGGGGTAACAAGCCATGTCTAATTTTAGGTGGAGACTTCATTCAAAATTCTTTTTTAAACTGATATGTAACTGATTTTAAACTTATACTGGTTGTATTTTGTTTGAGAAAATCTAACTTAAAGAAATTACTTTTTTTTTCTCCCGTTGTCCTGTTTCTTTAAAATTGGAGAGTTGCCTGTGTGCAATCAATTAGATGCATCTGACAATTGTTTATATCTGGAGAATGTGCAGAAGGAAATGGTCACAACAGTGAAACCTATAAAATTTCCTATGTTATTTCCTCACAGTGTGCTTAGATGTGTCTCCCACAGTTCAGCTCTGCTGATTGTTAAACAGTATCAGACTATCTATCTAAGATGCAGAAGCAGTTGTATAAACTGGGATTAATGTACTTTTGGAGGCAACTTTTTTACACTGCTGCTTGCAACTCTGTCTTTAAATGTCCAGAAATGACTAATGGCTTGAATTTACTTTAAAAGCAGTGGTAGGAAAGAATGATTTCTACCCCATGTGTGTTAGCCAACCTCCCCCACCCTAGAAGGTATTTATTGTTGGCCATCCAGAATTTGACACTGCGGAAGTACAAGTCACTTTTTTACAATGTTAGCCATGGTCCTGTTAATAATTTCAGATACTTGTATAACTGGTGGTTTAACATCAGATACTGCTTGATTGAAGGCAAATATTTACGAATTGTATATGTGTTTTTTTTTTTTTTTTAGTTAAAGGTGCTCCTCGAAACTTAAAGATAACAGATGAAACTACTGACAGCTTTATAGTTAGCTGGACTCCAGCTCCAGGGAACGTTCTGCGGTACAGGCTTGCATATAGACCACTTGCTGGAGAACAGAGGAGAGAAGTGACTGTCTCAGCAAATGAAAGGTCAACCACTCTGCAGAACTTGGTTCCAGATACAAGATATGAAGTGTCTGTTATTCCTGAGTACCAGTCTGGGCCTGGGAATTCACTGAGTGGATACGCCAAAACTGATGAAGGTATATAGTCAATGCTGTGAATGTAGTATGCTTGAGAAGAACTCCCTGCATGCTGACATACTCATGCTGGAAAGAGAATAACCTGGATAGAGCCTTTTTTTCTTTTTCACTTTTTTTTTCCTTATGTGTTACCACAACTGAACAAGGCATTACAAAGTTAATAAAGCCAATTAAGAGAGTTTGATACAATACAATTTATGACGACTGTAATACTATAGTTTGACCATCCAACAATTAACATGGCAAGCTAACTTGGATAACCAAGCTACCATTATGTTTAATTGTTCTCCTGATTCTTCATACTGCCTATGTTATATAATATATATATCTTTTAGCAAAAGTTGGAGTAGGAATGAATGACACATTTAATTTACTGAAGTTATCACTGTAGCTATGACTTTTGCTTAGACAGAAAAAAAATGTGATCTTCTAACAGGATAGAAGATCCTACCTGGATCCTTTTCCATCAAAGGAAATTAATAACCAAGGTGATTACTTGGACGTTTGTAGAACTGCATGAATCCATAGAATGGAATGACTTTATTGGACAAGTTGGCCTAAGGAAGATGAGGGAAAGAACTGTACAATCCTGAATACAGTAAAATCATACTATACTAGTGCTAATCTGGGCTATTCAGGATTTTTTTTCTGCATTAAGTTCTATTTTGTGGTAATTTAAAAAATAAACCACTTTATGAAATACCTAGAAGCACTAATTTGTCCTGATCCAGAGAGGACTTTTTCAGAAGTTGATCTGAGGTGATAGGAGTAAAAACTTAATGCTATTAATTCTTTTGATT